GTGTGTGGCAGCAGCCTGGACTCCAAACCGTCTGCTCCAAGCTGAAATTCACCGTTGCCTGCTAACAGTGAAGAAAAAGGATTCGCAAGAGACTGCAGCCCACACCAATCAGACCTGCGGCCGCGCCTTCTCACAAAGAAAAGGAAAATCCGTATGAAAGGTTATGGACGGTTCTGCCCATTTCACTTGTAAGGTGGCGAGAAGCTCACTGATCCGAGAATCTAACCCAGTCGTGTCTTGAAGGATCCCAGTGGATCTGCTTCAACAGCACGGCTGATTCCCGCTTCCCACGACTCTCTCCTCTCTCTCTCTCTGTGCGCGGCACATTCGCATCCCGACCTGCTCCACGTACTCTCTGGGAATCTGTCACGCGTACAGCATTTCACTCCCGACCTGCACTGCAAAACCTTGCAGCTAGGAAAGGATCAGCTGTCTACGGACTTTGAGATGCCCTTCAGACCACGTATTTACTGTGTGTTCGCTCAACTCTTTAGATGAATTAGTAAAGTAGGCAAGTCCACAGATGGGAGAGGGCTCTTGCTCTGAGCTGTGCTGAAAGAATTATGGGTACTCTGGAGACTGTGGGTGGAAGGGGCTCAGTCCTAAGGCACTCATCTCCATAGTGAGTGATCTGCTCCTTGTTTCCAGGCACCACGTTTGTCTTGGATCAGGCCAGGGCAGAGCCTGTATAATCCCCGAGATGTAACACAGTCGTTATCTGACTCTCGTCCAGAGACGACAGACGAGCGTCGCTTTCGATCAGAGAACGAGCCATCCTCCTGCCTGCCATCAGAGAGGAGCGGGTTTCAGCCCCCAGTCATCAGGCACCTGTGAAGTGCAAAGCAGATTCGGTTTCTGCACAGACATGAAAGCTTTCTCACTCTGCATTACTCCGCTTTCATTTCCTTTTCATTCCAGCCCGATTCGTGTCTATAATACTCCTTCATTAACCCATTTAAAGCACGGAGATCTGTTTAAAAGCAGAATAAGGAGATCTCTGTGTGTGAAAGTGTGCATTGCTTTGTTTACAAAAGGGGAAAGGCCAGTCTGTTGCTATCGGCAAGCCACTGCAGGAATGCAGTCTGAGACAAGTAAGGCTGTACCGGGCTGCATTTAGGCCACTGGCTTTACTGTATTTCCAAAAGTCTTGCAACAGCATCCTGTGACTGTGGAAGAAAAGAATTAACAATGATTGTCCTTCAAAAAATGACAAGTTCCACTGAAGTATCTTTCTCTTTAGAGCATACCAGGAGATACACATCTTGCGATCTGACAGAGCAACGAGAATGGGGGGGGCGAATCACAATTAAAACGTCTCACCCTCTTCAATGCATTTTATCAACAAGTACTGACACAATTATGAAGCGCAGGATCTCTTAAGAAATCCATATTAAGTAGCAACACTGTATTGATCTGGCCACTGCAACAGTTACAGCAGTACTGAATAAATGGCTGTTGATGCCAACAGCACATTAAATAGGACAATTCACAAAATGCCTCCGTGTTCAAAGCAGGATGCAGAACACCGATACTTGAGAATTCTCAGGACAATTATCATACTGAGAGAATACTAATCCAGGTGACTCCAGGAACTGTGGTTTCCAGGGAAACAGAGTGACAGTAAGATGGGAACGCAGAGCGATGACCGAAGGGTTCTGGGGAACAGATGGCACTGGCCTGTCTCTCCAGCATGACAGTGGAGACCGCAGTCTAATTTTACACGCAGAAGCCAGTGGAGAGAGGAAGTTCACTGTCAAAGCAGGAGCACGCTTTAAAAAAAAAAAAAAAGTTTAGCACTCCACCTACGTCAAAAGCTTAAAATAAAGCAGTCTGATCAATTTCTCAGAAGACACTTGCAAATCTGGTGTCCGCTTCCAGGATTTTCCGCTGGAGGAAGCGGCGTTGCAGAGGCACGATGATCGTGCACTTCACCAGCTCTCGCACGCCGCCCCCTGAAATGTCATTTCAGCTGATGAAGGGGCGCAGGGATGAAAGTGGCACCACAGCCAGCACAAGGAGTGGTTCACCAGCACTGTTCGAGTATTTAAAGAGCCTCCGTGGCAGCAGAGCTCCGTTTCCTTATCTGTGTGGTGAAAGAAGACGGCTAACAGAGGTTTTACAGCATGAAGAACACTGCCAATACAGCCCTGCGTGCCGATTACCAAGACCCAGGGGCTCTGCTGAGGGCTGTGCTGTGGCTGCGCCGCTGCTGGATTCGGCCAGGAGCCCCAGCAGGGAGGGCAGTGACCCCCCGCAGCCCGATTGACCGCTGGACAAGAACACAGTCCCGGGACCGCGGGCTCTCTGTCAAGCAGACACGCTCTCTCGCTGGGAAGTGCAGGGGTGAAGGAAAGAGGGGGAAAAAAACACACAGGCATGCTCGACAGAGGATAACCCAAGGTTCAGGAGCCCAGGCCTCTGGGGGCACACTGAAGCTGCTGCATATAGAAAGCAAAACATCCAGGGCAAGACAGCCAGGGCTGGAATGAAGACGCCCGTGACAAGGCTGTGTGAGGTCGGGCAATAGAAGCAGCAGATGCTGGCAGCCGGCAAATTTGAAGCTGAAAAGCCAGTGACGGTACCCACATTAACATCTGTCTGTGCAGACCCGTGTGCAAGGCAAGGCCGCGGGCACAGCCAATACCAACACTACAGCAGGCCGCAAGATCCGACAATGGCTCAAACTGCCCTGCAGCCTGATGTCTTCCATCTTCCTCCATCCTTGCATCCTTACTGGAGCTTTCCTGGAAAGCTGTGCAACCAAAATGGAGCTCTGTAATGCATGGAGAGCTGCCCTTCCCTGGATAGAAGAGCACAGCCACCATCTCTTTAAATACTTTCAGGTCCCCAGGAGGAAAGTTCACCAAACTTGTCTGAAGCTTAAATCTTATACATAATGCATGTAGGGATCTCATAATGTCCCATCTGTGCATTATTATTTTTATTCTTGTGGCATTCTTGTTACTTCAATACTTAATTCTAAATGCATTTGTGTTTCAGTTTTGCCTCTGGGAAGCTCACACCAGTGAACTGGTTATTACAAACTGCATAAAATTGAAATCCTGTTGAAAAGCTGAAACATCACATCTTCAAAGTCTGGACCCCCTGCCTACACCATATACCACAGGGCTTCTTCTATGTCCTGTCTCAGCTGTTGCTTCAGTCTAGAACAGCCTCTTGCATCTGTGTAACCCGTCTGGCCTGCACTGACAAGGTCCTGCCCTGGTGAGAGAGCACCTGCAAACCCACACAGCCTGCAGGAAACCTGAGCCAGCCATTGTTTAAGACATAAGCTAGGGATTCCTGGCATTACCAACACGACACTGAGGAATCTGAACAGATAATACTGCGAGACGACAGAAAGAGTTCATGGCAGAAAAGAAGCAATTCTTAACACTGCAGAGAGACGGTTTGGGGGAAAATAGGATGGATAGAAAAACATTACACTGGTTCACCTGTGCCACTGGTTGTTAACCTGGCTGCGAGATGCCCTTTCTGGAGGCCAGATTTTTCTTAGATGGGGAAATCATCCAAAACAAATGACGCAAACGATTTTTAATTAGAGGTGCGAGAACCTGTTTGGAGAACCAAGGGGGTACAGGCCGCAGCAAAGGTTGAGAACCGCTGGTCTATGCCAATATTCTCTGTATTACCCGAGCTTCTGACAGCTGCCATCAGAAGAACTCTTTGTGTCTGGTTTGTCCGACGCTAACCGATCCTGTTAGTCTTGAAGGTCATAGGCGGGGGGAAATCCCGGACATGCTGGAGGTTCCTGTTTTCCCCCATCATCTCCCCGCGTTTGCTGAGGGCTCGACTCCCTTAAACACAGCCTGCCTCACATGGGATACTGCAGCCCAGCGCGGAGACCAGGCGAAATCCCTCACACCCCTGCGGCCTCGAAGGGCTCATCGCCCCGGATCACACGCCTGGCATCGCCGGAATGCTCACGGACCAGCTGTTCCTGGGTGGCGCTCGCAGCTCGGCCTCGCCAGCTGGCAGGAGAGCAGCTGAAAGGCTGGAGGCTGGCGGGTCTGACTCCAGGCTCAGGGCAGACATCCCCGGATCACCGGAGAGGAGTCGGCAGGCTGACAGCCCGTCTCAGCGCCTAAGCCTGGCGTGGTGTTTGCAATAAGTCCACAGCACCTTGAAAAGCTTATTTATATTTTAGTGGTGCTCAAGCCTGGAACTGAGCGACGCCAAACAGCACTCTAAATGTCCCAAATGAATCACATTCCTGCCCTGCTTGTCTGAAAGAGCCAAGGACTCTCTCTGCTTCCGGCACCACACCGGACTGACCCCACTCAGACTGGCCTGAATTCAAGGTTTGTAATAACCACCATTAGCTTCAGCAGGTACAGGAATAAGGAACACAGAAGGGTGAGACACTACTGCCCTCCTGGCACTCTGCAGGAGGTCCATATCACATAGCTGGTCCATTTCCTCTTTCTGCTTCTCATTGCAAAAACATCACCATTTCGGGGTAGACCTCAGCACTTCACTGGAACCGGTTTTCAGCATTGAAAGGTTCACAACATAACACGTACTGTTCTGTACATCAGAACTGTGAATCTGCTGCTTACCGAGTAGCATGCACCAGCTAGAGCGAGCCTCGTGCAGATGCTTGCAAACGGACGTCGCTGGACAGGCTGCGGGCTGAGTTGCAACACTGCCGTCGCAGTCCAATGTTGCTGAGTGGGTGTGGGGGCTTTGCTGGCACAGACCCAGCCTGTGGCTGCGTTTCTGCAAGGCGCCAGGAACAGCACTTCTGCAAACTGGGAGCCGGCCAGGGGCTCCTGGTTTTAACAGCCCAGCGCCCAGTGGGCTCCAGTACAGAGCAGTATCCTTCCTCTCCAAGAGCGTGCAGGAGCCGCCCCGGATCTGCCTGGAGCTCCCGGTCTGTCTCGCAAGAGGCCGGCCAGCTGGCGGCGGCAGTGGGAGCTGTCAGGCCAGAGCCTGAGCACATCTTCCAGCCAGACAAGAGTACGACTGCTGGGCTGCAGAGAAACAAAATAAGAAGGGCCAAGAAAGCACAAACCTACGCTCAGCTGAAAGCCCAAGTGTCAGTTCATAAATTACAACGGGGAAGGAAGGCCAGCCTGCTGATGAAACCAGACATCGGAGACAGCAGAGTGGAGATAAGTGCCACTCTTACAATAATAGACCCTCGCTCTTGAAATGGAGCCAACTCATTTAACGAGACCCATGCCCAAACACCGTGCCGGAGGGAGTCAATCCTTCACTGGATGATGAAAGAAAAAAAAAATTCAGGCCTCTCATCTCTTCTCACCCCCTCGTCCGACTCTGCACTCAGAAGAACCCAGCCACCAGAGGCTGGGAAGAATGCTCAGCCTGCCGAGGCAGCTGACTTTTTCGCAATGATCCGAAAGTCAATTTTTCTTCCTCCTCGGTGGGTTTTGAACACTGTATCACAGCTTTGAGCTGAAAAGAAACGAAAACGAAGATGAGTGCGAATCGACAGCCCTGTCTGAAGAACCAGGAGGGAAAAGACCCTGGTCTCTGCTGAAGGGCCGAGCCCACCTCGGCCAGCAACGCACTGCACGGTTCTGCTTAATGAAGTCCACCCACACCAGTGACAGGCACTGTGCAACCTCCGGCATGCCAAGACACTGCAAGGGTAGCTTCCTCCAATGCCATTTTGTACTTTTCTTTCCTCCTTTTTGTCACTTTTGTCATATTTAAACATAGAACTGTATTTTCACACATGACATTACTCAGGCTTCTGGCTGTCGTTTTGTGGTCTTTCGCTCAGAACCCAGAACTGAGTGTCCCAATAATGCAGCCTCATCAGTCATCTGTGAAGCCCTCGGTTCTCTCTTCAAAGCATGCTTCAAGTGCCCTGTCCGGAGATTCAATGAAAGCAGCATGTGGAGTATTGAGGAACTGCCCAGTGCTGCCGAGTCTGCAAAATAAATATCAGCCTGCAGCATGATCATCTGCATCAGGCCCTACGTGACGCCCAAGGCCAGGGTGCTCATCCGACCATCCTCTTTTATCTTGGTGGCCAGATGTCTTTTTTTTTTTTTAATTGAGATTCACCTTAGGCTCTGCTTTTCCCTGCAAACACATCCAATACTCGTTCGAACCAGGTTACCCAGCTGTGTGAGGAGACTGAGAATGCAAGTAAGGAAACTGAAAGGATGACAAAACACGTCCAAAGTGCTTTTCAGATCTTAGTTTTCTGAAAGCATCTTTTAATCTCTAACTAGGCATAAATCTAGCAAGAGCTGACGCTGGAGTGGAAAATGAATATACAGCCTATACGTTATGTACTGAAGATGGACACAGTATATCCGTGAAATTATTTAAAGGCATGGGATTGTTTTATTACCTATAAGACTGTTAGGAGTCGAGGAGCACTCCTTGCCATTGCACAGGGTACATCAGAGGTTATCCCCTCTCAGTCTTTTCTCAAACGTGGTGTTCCCACCCGTAGCTGTCCTGCTCGGGAAAGGAAGACCAGGCTGCTGCTTCAAAGGATGTTGGCGGACCAGCAGGGGGTGCTCTACCCATCTGGGCCACAATGTCCGAACCAGTGCACCAGTATGGGGTTGTAGCAGGTGCCGTCCGCAGGATGAGTCTTAAGAGTCTGACTGCCGGGGTTATTTAGATCTTCTAAACAATCTGTTACAAACCGAAGGAGGGCATTTCGGCCGGTTGATAGTAGTTCACAGCAAATTGATCCAAGGACTCCTGGCACAGTTCACAAATAGAGGAGTGTTAAACCCGACGTGCTGGCTCAATCTCTCTCTGGGTTCCTACAGTTGGGCCTGAGTCAATTTCGCCCTCAATTCAGCTGGTGAATTTCTCACTTCCCCCCTGACCTGCTGCGCACAGACCGGCTGCCACGCGTCACCCAGGAGCTGCTGCAGTTCAGTGGTGGATGAAATAGGCTCCCTCCTCCATATGAAGCACTAAAGCTTCTTCTTGTTTTGTTTTTTGTTTCAAAGTCTCTTCTTGAGATTAAGGAACTGACACTACTGCAGAGAAGGAGTGGAGCTGGCAATGGAGCAAAACCCCAGGGCGGTTTGTGTTTCAGTCTGTCCTCTGGAGCTCCGGCGTGGATCTGCGGTGGGGGACAGCCACGCCTGCAGTCACAGATACCAGCCTGCAGTGGCGCGGTTTCTGTGCAGCCTGAGGCCTGCGGGCCCTGAGCCTCCGAGCGTCTGGAAATACAATCAGTACCCAAGCGGGTGAAGCCATCACAACACAGAAAGATCATTAACAGAGTCTCCGCAGGATTCCCAAGGAGAAATCAGTACACCGGCACCCTGCACATCCACGTTCCGAGGGGGAGAACAGAACTCCCGACTTTTATTCTCAAAACGTTTCCAGTTCCTGGAGTAGCTGGGTCACAAAAAGGTTTGTTGTTTTTTTTTTTTTTTTTTTTTTAAGGTCAAGCCAAAGTAAATTAAAAACAATTCCTAAACTAATGTTTCCAGACCCCGGCTTGGAAGGCCATAAACATTAAAGACAGTCCTACGGATGAGCCAGGTCTCTTAGAATGAAAAACCGCTGGCAATTGCAAAGCAGGTAAGTCAATCATTTAAAAAAAATGCAGTTGGCCGTTCTACCCCAAAAAAAAAACGAGACTGGGCCTCTTCATGCTTGTAACATTTCTGACGTTCTTAAGAGCAGGGCTACTGGTAACTAACAGTGCTGGCAGACGTTCAGTTGGTCCGCGGCCCAAACTGAGCAGTACTTGGCAGCGAGCAGCGAGAGGGAAGCTCAGATCTGAAACGGGCCCCGGAGAGTTCAAACCGCAGCTCATTTCACTCTCCCCTTAGAGCCGGAGAAGAAAAAAAGCACTACAAAGCTCAGGGGGTCGGCGTGTGCTTAATTACAAAAAAAAACGAAGCACTTCTATGCGTGATTGAACTTATTTACCCTTTATTCCAGGTCTCGGCTACTGGAGGTGGAGAAACGCTGCAGCACGGTGGCCTCAGACACTGCTGATTCCAGACGCTTTGTCAAGCAGGAATAATAGAGTCTGAGTGGCAGGCAGCTGTCAAAAGAGAGCTGGTGTTCATGGCCACAGCAGGATGACCTGTCTCGCTCATTTCTCTGTTGTTGTTGTTGTTCCCCTCCTTGCTGTACTGTGCAACTCCTCAGTTCCTGGACAATCCAGCTGCTCCTGTCTGGTCATGCGTCTGGGACGTTTTTTCACTTTGCTGGGGTTTTTTTTAGGTTATTTTACAGTTGCTCTTTTAGCTCGTGTCCGGCAAGTCTAGTTTCTCCCCCCTCTCCCTAAGTGATAGACATCTGATTTTGTACAAGTCAGGCCTTTGTACAAGTCCTTCAAGACCCATCTGTCCTGGCCCCGAGTGCCAGAGGCTGCGAGAGTCATCCGTACGTGCAGTCGGGGAGATCGGCGGCGAAATCGCCCAACCAGCGCTCAGGTCTCTAGCTCCCAGACTACACCTCGGCGGCTGAGCGCATCGGTCTTCAGGCAGGACAGGCCCTGGGCAGGCCACTGCTCTCCAGCACGGGTCTTTCCCCCGCTGCATGAACACAGTCATCCCTTCCAATTACCATCCTGCTGCCAGACGTTGTAGTTAAGGAGTAATTGCTAGGCTCCAAGAAAGCCTTTTCAAACCCGTGATTCCGGCTGATGACGCAGGATCACCAAGGGGGAGGCCGTCCAAGCCGAGCCCTGCTAACGGAGAGATGTTTGGGGGGGAGGTGGGGCGCCCCCCAGGTTTCGTCCTGCTTGCCGTTGTAATCTCAGGCAGTGAGGGGAGAATTCGGATTGGGCACTACAGTATATGCAAAGTGACAGAGACGAAAGAGGGATGTTTAATAGCATAGCTCAGATTTTAAAAAATCAAGAATAACCCCATTTCGGTCAGAGACCGTAGTTTATGGCAATAAAGATAATGAACGCAACGAGACCTCACACTTCCTGTTTCATCAGTCACCCAACACGCTGCTAACACAACAGCGATGCTGCGAACCTGCCCTTTATAACTAAAGATATTCCAAATCTCTTTATCTGCAGTAATCCGGGAACACTGAGTAACTAAACAGGCTGCAGTAGCCAGAAGATTTAGTAGCAAGTTTCCTGCAAAAGCCTGTTAAATCTGCCCTATCTCTGGAAAGACAGCTGCTTCAGCTATTCCTGGAAGACAGCCCTTATGTCATTTAAAAATGAAATGATTATTTTCCACGGCAGCGCTGCAGAAGCAGGGCAGAGTAGAAAGAGGTGCTTTCAGACCGGTGGCAGTAAACTCTAATCACGTCTTAGAAGACGCAGTAAACAGGCATTAATTTAAAGAGAAACTGCAGCGATTTAGCAACAAGTTTGAGTGAACAACTCCCACAAGAAAGCCAGTTTAACGGAGCCAAATCCTTTTATGCTCCACAGCAAGAAACACTGCTTCCTTGCTCTGTACACAGTACAGTTTGCCTACATTTAAAATAAACCCCAGACACTACAGCTCACAGGCTGAGAAGTGGGTTCAAGAGATAATGAAACATTTGGTCGTATGCCACCAGCCTTGCAAGTAAAAAAAAACTACAGAACCACTATAAGCAAAACAGTGTAGTGGAAAGAGAAGTTCTGATATGTGATCTTTACTGCAGTAAATTTAGACCCTTCCTTTGACATTTTTGGCAAAATCTAAAAACCTGGGATTGGGTTTGTGACTGCGAAACTGCAAGACCAATCGCTGGCTGCCCATTCCATGGAAATCTCAGACACTCAGTTGGACAGCACCCCCCATAGAGAACCCCGAGCCCCTCCAGCAACGATTTTCCGGCGAACCAAGAGATCAGACACAAACACAACGAGTCAGAAGAGTCCTCAGTTTCACACAGAGAGAGCAGCGCACTTGCTTTCTGCTCTCCCCTCAGATCCGCTCACCTGCTGCAGGGCTGATTCACATTCAGGCAAGGACAGCCCAGGCGCCGGCCGGGGAGACGAACAGGGACCCCCCAGTGGCTTAGCAAAGCCGTGGGCCGGTTCTTTGCTCAGGCGCAGACTCATCTCCCCAAAAACATTCAAATCGCCCCGAAAACGCCACACGTACCCACCACCTCTACTGCACATCTGCGCTTAGTGACACAAGCAGCGGGTACAGTGCTCACAAACCACAGTGGTGGGGGTGACAAACTCGTCACAGATCCAGCTGGTAAATCTGGGGCCTTGGGTTATTTCGGCAGGAACTGTGTGGGCTCGGATGAAATCGTGCAGCGTGATTTCAGGTCTGCAGGCTGCAGGCGCTGCTCGTGAGGACAGAGCACCAGTAACCGGAAAAGTTCCTACACTTTTTCAACCCAGAAAATAAACAGCAAGGATGGCTTTGACAACAAAACTCTTCATTTTTGTGCTTGACGTGAGTTCCGGCCGACATCCTTCTCTTGTTTTGCGGCTTTTCGGGGGCGCTGACACCCCCAAACTGTATTGAAACCGAAGTTACACCCCCCACCCCCCACCCCCCACCACATAGATGGGGTCTGTTTTGCTGTACTGGGAGTTCAAAAACATTGGTCCTGCCCTTCTAGGGCTTTGTTTACTTAATACCACTAAGGCTGCTGAGCAAAAAAACAGCCTTGTTCACCACAGCTTCCTGAGATCTGCAACTTCAGTTCAGCAAAACACATCTGCACACACTGAAGAGAGGCCTTCTCTGCCATCGCCATCTGTAGAGTCCTAGTGACAGCGCTGTATTTAACTGCAATTCTAATTACCTCCAGACTTCGGGCAGCACTGTCTGCAAACCTGCCAAATTTGTATCAACGATCGGCTCTAGGGAGCACAGTAGGCTTGCTGTGAACTAAACCCCACACTTCCCCCTACAACCTCAGTCTGCAAATGCATTTAACAGCGACAGGGCAGAGAACGCAAAGACCACGACAAAAAGGCTATATTTAAGCACCGCTGTAAAAGGATCTTTTTCTCCATACAACGTGACAGGACTGGCAAGAGACGCAGTGAACTGGGAGTCTCCAGGCTTGCTGCTGAAGTCAGTTCTCGGGGATCTGAAAGACGGAGCCGGATGAGATCCTGGCCCAGCTGGCCCATGAGCGACAGAACGTGCACGATGGGCCCACTTGGCCTCCACTCGATTGTAGAAACACACAGACAGCCGCGATCACGTACTGGAATGAGTTTTACATGACATTTCGCAAAGCCAGGCCCCACTTGCTGGCCCACGAAGACGATCGCCGCGTCACAGCCTGCATCCATGATCCTCCAGACTCCACAGATTACTCTTCTGGAAGTCAGACCGGCCTGATGGAAGAAAACGACACCCCTTCCTCCTCTGATCTCGGGAGAAGAATGCCACAGCTGTAGCTGGATATATTCGGGATATATCACTTGGAAGAACTGAAGCTAATAGGGTAGAAATGTTCTAGAAAGCAAATCAAGGCCTGAAATCGCCAACGCCTGAAGTTTTCAGAGGCACAGGACCTACAGCAGAAAAAAAAACCTGGGATGGAGGCACAGAACCGGAGTGGCAGACGGTTTCTCTGAAAGCCTCGCACTCACCCTGACGAAGTTGTCCGGAAAGAGCCCCCTCCTGCCACTGATCTCGCCTTCCCACCAACCTCCGTCATCCTTCCTGATGTTGGAGATGATGTCGCCCACAGCGATGGTCAGCTCGTCATCGTGCTGAGCTTTGTAGTCAAACTCCACTATAGCTTCCACTGAAGAGAGAGGCAGAGAGAGAGAGGGAGAGGGAGAAGTCAGCGAGAATCGCTAGGGCAACCAGCCTGGCCCCCTTGTAGTCGTTGTCCAAGACTAAAGAGATTCAGTTCCTTCTGCCTGTCAGTGCAGGCCATTCTCTTAAAAGTCCCAGAATGCTACTGGCTACTCTTCTCTGGATCATTAGAAAGCAGCAAGATTTTTTGTGACATTGTGACCAAAATTGTCCTTAATATTGTAAATAAGTTACAAGCTCATACTAGCGCGTTGTACAATTTTAACATCTTATTCTGTTTATATTAAAGAAACAATTTTAACACGTATTATCCACTGGACACCTGACCTTTTTCTTTTTTAAACCTTGTGAAATGCATTTTTATGCTACATGTAGGAGGATGTTTTCTTGTTGTGTTTGTACGGATGTGTTTGTTTTAACGTAACCAGCAACACAGGGTGAGTGTCCCAACGTCCCCACATTGTACAGACTACAAAAATGATGTGTCAACAAACACACAGGTCTATTTGTAAACTGCCTTTTTTTTTTTTTTTTGATTTTTCAGAAACTTCGCGGACTTCGGAACCCACAGTGAAACACGAACTGGAAAGCACACGAGGAAACGACACGAAAGTGCACTTTTTACTCAAAGAGTTGTGGGAGTGTGGAGCCAGCCATTGCCAGTGTCTGTCCAGCTACACTGCACGGGTAGGACAGACCTTTTTCAAGAAAAAGCTGGATGAGACCACAAGTTCAATGAGCCGATTAACCACCAAACATGGAATGGCCTTCTCCAGCCATTCTTGGGTTTTGCTGCTAGGGCTTTGTCCAGCACGAAAGAGCTGATGATTAGTTCCACAGGTGTGGATAATAAACCCATACTTTAACACCACAAGGAAAGAAAGGACTCGGTTTTCCTATAAAGGGCGCTGGGTACACAGCTAAAAAAGCACACAAAACGTGTTAAAAAAAAACAAAAGGAGAAACCAGAAATGCGTATTGTATTGCAAACAATAATAAGTAGGAGACAAACACCAAGTTGAAGAGAACCCTGCCCTTTCAAACTAAAAAATGAAAAGAAGTAAAAGGAAGAGCAGTGTCAAACTACTTCAATATTTCAGGTCAATTTTTCTACATCTTCCTCTTAACCTTTCCACAGCTGCACAGATCGAGCTCCAGCTCCGCCGTGCTCTGAAACCTCAGTTAAGGGCACACATACATAACTCGGCCAGCTGACAGGCGCAGACGGATGAGAGAGGGAGACTGACACAGACTAATCAATACCCAGACTGATAGGCAGAGGGGTGGGATGAATGCAGGCAGGACCGGGGGGCTCGGTTCTGCTTCTGCAGCGCACAGAGCCTTCTGGCTCTGCTGCTTTGACATCACAGTTATTCGGTTTAAAGAAAAACTATGACAAACTGGGCCCTGGAACAGGACGGAGCAGAAGAAGGCCTTGCTCTGTGGACGCCTCTGGCTCAGGGCCACGCGAGCACACTTCATTTCTGCTGCATCTGAGCATTTTACAGGAATTCTCCCCAGCGCCTGTAGTGCACAGCTCTCTGACAACCTCTTTAAGAAGAGGGAGTCAAAACCCAAGTCTGGATTGTAGCAAAAGTGCCAGGAATCGCTCAGAGTTCAGCCCTGCTGGTACAGAAGACCTGTCGGGAAGACGGAGGGCTCATATAGGTCCGAACCGAGAAGCAGAACATCCTGCAAAACAAATGATTCAAGAAATAAAAAAAAACTGTTTTTAAACCGTGAGAAAAGCCAAGTTCTTTATAGGGGATCAGAAAACATCTAGAAATGCAGCTGAACACAAAACTAGACGTCCAAGCCCCGCGTGTCTTTAAAAAAAAAAAAGCTTCTTCACTCACACATCGGCTTTGTTACTTGGGGGGCGACGTCCCTGCCAGGTTTCCCGAAGGCCGACTCCCCCGGCAGGCAAGGGGGGGCTCTGTTGAGGAGGAAGAAACTGGAGGGGGTGCGTGAAGCGGCGAGAGAGAGGTGAGGACCGTGCAGTGGGACCTCCACGCGCCTCCTGGAGGGGTGCACAGGGCCAGAAAGTTACCCAGCCGGGGCCTTTAACACCCACAGGCCCACACCAGACCAAAGGAAACCAATTTCAGCTTCCATCTGGTCGCATTTCGCGGAGAAGAAGAACGGGGCTTAAAAAAAGCAAGTTTCCAGGCTAGATATAGGCAGCTGAAGTTGTGTGAGACTAACTAACCGTTTGCCACGATGGACTGCGCACCAGTCACAAACGCCTTAGCAGGAACCTCAGGGAAGATCTGTTTCCAGAGGCGCCCGTGGAGCGGAAAAAACACCCGACTGCCTCCCAGAGATCTCCCGTCTCCTCCCCGACCCAGGACTGCCGACAACCTCGCAACCGGCAGCAGCCCGCCGCTCCGGGACAAAACCCCAAACCAGAAGGCGCTAACGAGGCTGCGGCCGCAGGGCACGGGCGTAGAGGAAGGGAAAGAGAGCCGAGATTTCCCTCGGCGTCGCGCAGGTGAAATACAAAAGGGGAAGCTCGAGAGTTCACCTCTCTGCGGCATCGAGCTCAAAGGACCGAAAACTACCTGCTTCAAACCAGCGAGCGCACCGAAACCGGAACCGCTCCATTTCAGAGAAGTGAAATTAATTTCTCTAAAATGAACCCACACTGCTTATTTGTCAGTCGACTCGTCAGTTATAAGCCCTACATTAATTTAATGCTAACCACGAATTTAATTTCAGAAGCCTCACGGACCATTATTCATTATTATCTCTACCCATCATCACAAAAAGCAGAAACAGTACAATCATTCAGGCCGAGAGCCCAAAAAACAGATCATCGTCCCCGAAGCGGAAGCAAAGATGTACGGGAATGAGGACATCACACCAGTCCAGAATCACGCCTGCTGTACTAATAGCTAGACACCAGCACCTCTAAATAAACTTTAGATGCAAATCCTAAAACCACAGGGACAGAATGAAACACCAAAAGAAAGTTTGTGTAACCAGAAGGTGTTTTGTAATCTCATTTTCGTCAGTGTGTGACACTGATAAGAGCATTATAAGGATATGAGAACCTCCAAGCTCATCCGAAAACTATATAAATAGTTCTGGTCGTAAATGTGTGAAAACATATTCATAATAAGGTTGGGGGAAAAAAAAGAGAACAAGTACAGCGAGGCTGGTAAAACGTGAAATGGCTCAAACTGCAGTGCATCGGGAGTCCGACACGCGTCCATCCGAATCCCTCTCCAGGAATGGCCGGTGTGGCCCCCCGTGTGCTTGAGGGACCCGGAGAATCAGCCCTGACTGACTGACTGACTGGGGCTCCGGCATCATCACAGGCCCTCCCTAGCGCTTTGATCTTGCTTTCAGGAAGACATTAACGAGGGAACCGGGGTGATCGTCTGTAACTGCCCCCATGAGGAATCTCTCTCTCTCTCCCCGACGGCTCGCCGCTGCCATTTAACACAGCAGCGCGATTTCTGAATCATAAAAAAAAATACATGTACCCGCACATCCCACGCAGGATGATTAAATTAAGCAGTTCGCCGGCAAATCAGGGAAACCGAGGCGAAGAAAAACGGAAGAGAAGCTTCAGCTGTGTTTTTTTTTTAATTTCCCCCGGTACAATGCAGACGCGGCTGGGTGTAGATTTACGCGAGAACAGCGGCTGGGCCCGTGTGGGGTGTGGGGTGTGGGGTGTGGGGTGTGGGGTGTGGGGGGACTCTCGCTCCGTGGGTGGCCGCTACGGCACCCTCCCGGAGAAGGAATGCCAGCCCGGCGCTGGACCAGCTGCGGCCGTCTGTCTGGTCGACTGGTTTCCGCTGAAGGGAAAGGGTTAAACCATGAGCCGCGCTGGGGTCACACGTGCGACCCCTCCAAACCTAACGGGGGTCTGGCGTCCTCCGGGGGGTCCTAATAAAAACCCTCACCTCGCCCTGGGGCAGGCAGATCCGATGAGGTCTCTCTGCAGCATCATCACTTCTGAGAACAGAAATGCTGCGAGTGCACTTACAGTGCTGAGCTGAGCGGCTTCCCAGGGGATAATTAAGAGTAATTATGACCCTCTGACAGCACCGCTGGCTCAGTCTGGGCAAGCCTAGGAGATCGGCTCTTTATTATACACATCAGCTGAACATGCCCTAACCCCGGCCTCGCGTCGCAGACTCTGGACTAGCCAGTACCGACGGGGCTCCAAAGGCAGGGTGAGATCTCCTCGCTCCCAAATTCGGCAGCTCTGCTGCCCCGCGGTAAATCCGGCTCAGCCACTCAGCAGCTGACATTAAACAAAAAATGAGCCGTGTTGGGCTCGTTCTCTCATAATTAAGTCATCTCGCGTAAGCTCAGTGGTAATGAGACGTCCTGAAAAACTCGGGCCTGAACTGGCCGGCAGCAAACGTTCATGAACGAGGACTAGGCTCCCGTTTCAGTATCAATTACCGCCGCCGAGCAGACTCCCTGCAGCCCAGTGCAGCAGGCCACAGGGCAAGCGCCCCCACCGCCAGCTTTGGTAATGGAGCAGAAGCAGAGAAAATAATGGGGAAATGAAAAACAATTAAAAAAACCAATTAAGACACAGTCACGGGGTCACCTCTTGAGTTTCTCATCGTTTTGTTTTTTTTCCAAGCAGGATTTCAAACTCTCTCAGACAACAAAAAAAAAAAACTGCTCTGCACAGAACGAACAGATCATGCCTACTGGGGAAACTCCACAACAGGACCTGGGTCTTCATGGGATGCTGTCTGTACTGTCTGTGCCAGCTAAAATGCATCATGCTCATTTATTCCTGCCTCATGAGAAAAGCCCATCTTAAGTGTTATTTATTGACACATTGATGAAATGATGTTAATTGCTGTTGATCAGTCATCATATTGCTTTTGTGTCTGAAGGTTTTAGGCACATGGATCTCTCCTTAGCAATGTCATGAGGCAGAATTAGGCTGCAGCACAATGAGGTTTACTGTACTGTATGTCTACTTCCACTGCAGAGCTGCTGGAAGGTACAGTT